ATTATGGAAAATAACAAACTTTATCACAATATGCTAATATTTTGAGAAGGACCTGTAAGTGCAGATCAGTAATGTGGACGTTTCTATAACCAAACTGTTGCTTCTATCTTCAGGGACACTGTCATTTCCATTTAGAAACAAATTAGAACTGGCTGAAAACCAGTTTGCATGTAAATCCGCCCAGTGTATGAAAACATTTCCATCAGTATAACTGGTTATGATTTAGTTCCAGCTGAAATAAATGAGTGCAGACACATATTAATCTGTAGATTACCGCTGCATGAGGTCATTGGATCTCTGCCGTTACATTGATAAGATCCAGTGGTTGTTATGGCGACCGCAGGACATCCTGCTCTCTGGGCCGCTGTGCCACATGACACCGCAGGAAAACAAAGATTTCAAAGTTCCAATTAACTCTGATCAAAGCAGAACAATAATAAAAAAATATTCTCTCTTCCATTTAGAATAAATGGAATAAACATTTAATATTGTTTAAAATAGAAGTTTCTTTAATTTATCTTCTGTTTCAATTAATGTCCTTGAATTAAATATATGATGTTTTCCCTGTGGTTATCATTTCTGTCACAGTTTGTTTAGTTAAAGGACCCAATATGGCAGACAGTGGTACTTTAATGAAGAGATTTAATGAAGGTTGAAGCAACAGAAGCATAAATCCAGGAAGAACAAACCAGGAAAAACAGGAACCAGAGCAGAGAGCGACACATGAGGAACTTACAGAAGGGAATGGAGACAAACCCACAATGACCAGCTGCAGAGAAGAATGAAGAGAGTGATAAGCTAACTGGGAGCAGGTGTGGACAGAAAGAGCTGAATGGGATCTGAGGAGTATTGGCACAATGAAGAGCAACCGAAAATACAACAGGCCCTAGAATTGAGAGAACAGAAAAAGGAAAGGATACTAATGAGTAAGAACCACAACTCCTGAGTTATAATCCAGCCGCTGTGTCCTCTAAAGACCAGATTCGTTAACTGGCTACGTCATAGCGCGACGCCGAGGCCTGTTCTGATTGGAAGACTCCTCATTATGCAGCTGACAAATGCAGCCTTATTTTTGAGACAGGAAAGGTCCGCTGTATCCTCTGTAGCCTTGGGTATCCCATGATTCATTGCGAGCAACCCAGAATAAACATCTTCCAGGATTAACTTAAAATTAAACACATACAGAAAGAAAATCTCCAAAACGGAGCAGAAAGTGGCCAAACAAGATTCAGCGTAGGATAATAAATTAAAACACAGGATAACATTAAACACCAAAAGTAAAACATAAAAGTCCAGATCAGAGGGCCATGATAAAATCACAGCTTTTCATTCCTCTTTAGGGGCATTGCAAAAACAATTCTCTTGTAGCAAACTTTGCATCTTTTATTGCATCGATGAATCTTCTTCTCAGCTCCTGGTTGATCATGTAGAGGCAGAGCAGAACCAGAACCAGAACCAGGCTCAGTATGAACAGCCTCCTGCAGCAGCTTCATCTAGCAGAGAAACGGCTTCAGAGTCAAATCTGCTCCCAGTAAATCTCAGCCACCAGCTATCAGAACCAGGTGGATAATCTCTGGAAGAGCAGGACGTCCATCAGCAGCTCCCTCCTGAACAGAAGCGCAGTTCTGATGCTGTCAGAGTTCTGGTTCTCCCTGTAACTTGCTGTCTGTAGTTTGTGGACATGTCCTTCCTGGTAGATTCCAGCCTCACCCTTCACTTTCTGCCGCAGGCCTCAGCTGCATGCCGAGCTCCGCTCTTGTTGAACTGCTGCACCGCGTGGAAGCCGCCATCCGCGAGTTCTCCGAGGAGCTGGTCAACCAGCTGGCTCGGCGGGATGAGCTGGAGTTTGAGAAGGAGGTGAAGAATACGTTCATCACGGCTCTGATGGAGGTGCAGAACCGGCAGAAGGAGCAGCGGGACAACAGCAAACGCAAACGCCGTGACAAGGCCCTGAGTCTGCAGGGGGGGGCGGTGTCCTCCAACGGGGGGAACACCGGCACCATGCCGGCCAAGGTCAGTGGTTAGGATTGTTGACAGGAAGGAAAAACCATCAATCTGTGACCGAGGACAGAAACTGAAAATTTATAAAAACCAGATAAATAAAATATAGAATTTATAATATTGTTATTGAAGTTATT